TTTTCATACATAAAGTCCAGCTTTAAAATCAAGTTTTTATATGCACACATCTATATAGAACTCGAATTCTTCGTATATCAAATTTCTTATTCTGCTTTTTCTTTTTTCATTTAGTTTTGCTGAAAAACTCAAAAAAAAAAAAAAAAAAAAAAAAAAAAAAACAAAAAAAAAACTTTCTAATTGCTTACACAACTGAGCTCACTGTCTGTGTGTGGGTGTGTGTGCATTCGTAGTTAAAGCCCGGCACATTCCATTTGTAAATTTTTAGCATAAAACCGAAATTCGAACTCTTAAAATGCAAATTTAAAATACGAAAATTCTCCAAAGCCAAATACGAACGAAATTTCAGTCAGGGCCCTCAGTGCGGGGTTGCAAATTATTCACACACAAATGTGTAATTACCCAGACACAGAACACATCAGCAGCAGCAAGACACACACACACACACGCACACACACATGGAGACACATATAGATATAGTCTTGCTCTAACTAACACATATGCAGCTGTAAAATTGGCAGCACACAAAAAGCTTGAAGAGCGGCGCCGTTGCATGTGTGTGTGTGTGTGTGTGTGTGTTGTCTAGGGGCGTGGCTGTTGCTACTGCTGCTGGCATGGAAAATTAACAATTTTTCAATTAAAATCAATACCGAGTGCTTCTTTTTGGGTTCAACAGCTAAAAGTGGGCGGCTATATATACATACATATGTGTGGGTGTGTGTGTGTGTGGTGAGGCTGGAGCCGGGCTGCAGCCACACATGATAACTCTGTGCGTGTGTGTGTGTGAGTGTGAGTGTGTCTGTGTGTATTGTGTGTTGTTGTGCGCATTTCAAGCAAATAGCTTAAGTGCCTGAAAATATGCAACACATGCGACAAGCGGGCGTTGCTCTGCATGTGTGTGTGTGTGTATGACAGTGTGTGAGTGTGTGTGTGTGTGTGTGTGGGTGTGCGTGATGTTGTTAGTTTCTTTTTTGGGGCGCCATCAAGTCAATTTCTAAAGTCTTTTTTGTCGGCACTCACACACACACACACACACACACACAGGCAAATAGTGCTGTTATTTTGCATGACATTTGCAGGCTAGTTGCTATGTGTGTATGTGTGTGTGTGTGTTGACGGTCGTAGTCTCAGCTCAGCTGCTGCGTTGCGGTCGTTTGGTCTTTAGAGTATTTTGTGGCTGTCTAACTGTTGAGCTGCCAAGCTATGTGTGTGTGTGTGTGTGTGTGTGTGTGTGTGTGTGTACACGCACATGCCTGTAAGCAAAATACACACACACTGACAGTCGTTGACTATTTGCGGGCACCGCAAACAACGTTAAATGCAAATTTACGCCAGCTCCAAGCAGCGACCCCTCGCACGCACGCCTCTGCTCCTGCCTACCTCGCTCACTCTCCTTTTCTCTCTCTCTCTCTCTCGCTCTTGCTCTCTCAGCAGGCAAACCCACAACAGTTACACACAAAATGGCCGTACTTTGGCGCCATTGCCTCAGTTGTTGCTGCTGATGACTATTGCCGTTATTGCCCAGCGTCGAGTGAGTGAGACAGAGAGACAGAGAGAGGGAGAGGGAGAGGGAGAGCGTGCTAGTGCAAGGCAGGGCCAGAATTGAAGTGTTAGTTGTAATGCTACTAATTGGACTCGCTTTTAGCAATGCTTCATGTGGCCCCAAGCAAGCTAAAAGCAAAGCTCCTTCAAGGGTGCCCATTCACACGTGTCTGTGTATGTGTGTGTGTGTGTGCGTATATATATGTGCACTACTCCAAAGTCTATAATTGGAAAATTTTACACACTCGAAATTCAATTTTCAGCTGCTGCTGCTCCTGCTGAAACTATGGGCTAACTGTGCGAGCATTAGCACTGGGATTAGGCTCTCGAGGCTCGTCAGCGCCTGGGCAAGGCAAGGCTGAGAGGGCCAGATTGAGTGTGAGGTTATGTGGCGATGCCACAAAGCATTGGCTGCTGACGAAGTTAATAAAGCTGAACTCGTGCAACTAAATGGTAACTGTAATTAGAAGAGCATAGCGATAGCTCACTAGATACTGGGCCAAGTAATACTCAAATCGACCTATTCCCTATGCAAGGTATAATAGCTGCGATATGTATCGATAAGCCTATTTGCGATATTTGACTAGTATTAATATAAGCATTAGTCACATGCTGACTCTCAGTAAATGCAGATATTGAATGTATTTTTTACAATGTGATCGATATTTATCGATAACAAATATTTTTTTATATTGATAATCAATAAATATGAGAAAGTTGTGTGAATACTCAGCATCAATTTGTGTTCTTACATATTTCCCTATAAATATATCGATAAATATGTATTATCGATACATTTTATGAAAAGTTTTAAAAATGATTTTTAAGCAAGAAACATAAATATAATGTTCATATGTTGTTAATCGACTAATTACTTATCGATAATGTCTTGATGATGGTGTCTGTCGATATTTATCGATCTAGCTGTATTAATATTTACATAGCAAAGAATAACACTCAAATGTATAACTCTTACTTGGAGCGATAGTTAACGATCTTGGCTTTACTCGATATCGAATAGATTCCTTGGCGCTGCTTATTGATATTGTGTATATCGATTTAAAAGCAACATCAATAAATACAGTATGTACAGGTTGGTTGTTAGCATTATCAGCTTGATAATGAATAAGCCATATTCATCGATATATGTATGTCTGTGTATCGATATTCTAGCGATATTTTTGTTGTTGTCACAGGTTTCTGTTCTGGCAGCTTAGGCAAGCGATAGTTAGGTATGAAATCGCCTTAAATGCCAACACATACCGATATTAGCGGTAGTGCCCGACTGAGCACCACAGCCTCCCTCCAGTCGACGCACTGCAAGTCAAGTCTTCGGCTGAGTCTGTGCTGAGTGCCTCGGCCCTTGAGCTGCTTCCCTAAAAACGGGCGAACAATGTGGTATGGGAATGGGAATGGAATGGGAATGGGAGCAGCCTGCAGCTCGCCCGTTCCAGTTGCCATTGCCGTTGCCATTGCCCTTGCTCATACCCGCTAACGGTAAGGCCGCTACCCGTTTCGTGAGTGGCGCACTCGATGCGGGTAAAAGGGCAAATTCGCTTCGTTTGTAGGGCAGAGGGCGAGGGGGGAGCGTTGGCTGAAGTAACTGCGCCATAATTACACAATTTTTGCCTCTTTTTTTTGCGTACTTTTCGTATAAATTTTCGTGCTAATCAAACACATTGAGCAAGCGAGAGAGCGAGAGTGGTAGAGCACTAGAGAGAGGGAGAGAGAGAGAGAGAGAGAGCGTAAGCTTTTTAAGGGTGGCAATTTGTCGACGTTCAAGTTCACTCGATGAAAACACACGCAATCTCTCTCGCTCACACTACACTTCTCCTCCCTTCCCTCCTCCGCCTCTCTCTGTAGTGCGCCATCTCGCTCGCACAGCCGTCGCTGACATTTAGCTAGAACAATAATGGCCATTAAAATGCTTAATTATATATTCGCAAACGTAGCTGATTTTTTGAAGCCTCCCAAAACGAGTCTCCGTCTGCGTCTCCGTTCCCCCTGGCCCCTTGCCCTCCCCTATGGCAAGCTGACGCGGCTATGCCGAGTGCTTTTTGGCAGGACTCGGCTGGCTCAATATATGCAGCGACTGTTGGAGCTGCACTTGAGCCGCTGCTGAGGTTGATTGCCTATTAGGACTCTGACAGGATGGCAGCACAGTGCAGCAGAAAGCAAGTGGGAGGGACGCAGGACGCAGGACGAGGCACTGACAACAATGCGCTTGGAGGTGTGAAAAATCAGCGCAGAGAAATCCAAACAAAGACAACGAGACAAAAAGGAAATGCAAATTCCTTGCCTTCAATCGCAAACATCCCGAGCCCAAATGGAATCCTCTTTCAGCTGGGCTTTTGTTTTGTGTTTTGCCAACACAACACCTCGCTCCAGCAGGATGTAATTAGTTCGTTAATTCATTAAGCGCAATGAATGCGAACGGGATCAAATTACCTGGCCGCGTCTTCGGCTCAGCTCTATTCKATCTGGATGACTCACCTGTATGCGATCCTCCGGCAGTTCCGTTTTCAGTGAGAGCATCTCGCGGGCATAGACGTCGGGATAATGGGCCTCCTTGAATGCTTCCTCCAGCTTCTCCAGCTGGTAGCTGGTGAATATGGTGCGGCTGTGCCGACGCTTCTTCTTCTTCTTTTTGCCATTGGGCCCCAGGCCGGGACCAACACCGAAGCCATTTAAGCCATCCATGCCAAAGTCCTTGGCAGCCAACGAACCTGCAATGGGCAATTTGGTATTCATTGCATATCAATTTCAATCTCAATTTCAACTTTCAACTTTCAATTTGATTATTATCTCAATGTCAATCGGTTTTTGTTTAGCTCTATTTACGCCAAAGCTCGACTTGTATTTGATATTTAGTTCAATTTATTTTCAAAGCAATTTGATTTTCAATTTCAATCTCTTTGAGCTGTCTTCTATCTTTCAACTTTCTCACTTAAACGTTCAATTAAGTCATATATTCAGTTAAATTATTATTATTAATTATTAACAATAGTTCAAGTACAATTAATAATAATAATTTAGCTGAATATATGACTTAATTGTACTTGGACTATTGTTGTCTCTTTCTTTCTTTCTCTTTCTCTCTTTCTTTCTCTCTCTACATCCATTCTTCCTCTCTTTTTACTGAATTTCTATATTTCAATCTGAATGCTTTTATAGTCATCAATTAGCAAACCCATTCAATGTGTTAATTTTCAGTTCAATCCCACTCTCTCTCTCTCTCTCTCTCTCCCTCTATCTCTATCTATCTCTCATTCTTTGTTCTGCTCTATTTCTCTCTCTCCAATATTTAAAGCTCAACTTTTGTTTTCATTCAACTACCAACTTAGTTTCAATTCCAATTCAGCTTTAGCTCTGCACCGCTCTTTCGCTTTCCCTCTCGCTCTGTTCATTTCCTTGTCAGAATTAGTTCACAGCCTTTTCTTTCTTTTTTTTTTTTTAAGTGCTGCTCCCATGACCTACACACTGAAAAATTCCTCCCACACAGGGTGAGGGAGGGGGCAGGGGTAGAGGTAGAGTTAGAGGGAGAACGACTGGCTGCCCCTATTTGAGGCGTCGCTGGAGCGCGACTTTGAGTGCTTCTGTTTTCAGTAGTTTAGTTTGAATTCAGTTTGTATCTCTTTTGTTGTTCTTTCCACAGACTGTGCTGGCTGGTGGCTGGCTGACAATGTTATTTTAAATATTTAATAATTGTATCTAGTTTCGCACTTCCTTCGGAGGCTGCTTCAAGGAAGACACCACTTGACATCGTCGTGACCCTCGCAGCGCTGGGGAAAAGTGAAAGCGGCTGCCGAGGATGACAGTCATAATGATGATGATGATCAGCATGATGATGATGATGATGATGATGAGCGTGTTGACAGGCACTTTTTGCTGCCTGAAGGGGATCTCGTCTAGCCGCCGATCAGCGCCACTTGCCTCGAGCCTCCGAGGCCAGCAAATTTTGTGGCTGCCTTTCAATGGGCAAATCGATGAGGATTGAAGCACCCGGAAAACACAAACACTAACACACACGCACACACACACACACACACACACGAGGATAGAGAGCGCAAGACAAAGGCAAAAATCCAATAGCAAATAGAGCTGGTTTTTATTTTATTTTGTTTTTGTTTTTTTGTAGGAAAGTAAAACAACAAAAAGAAACCAGCAGGGGCATGAAAAAGACGCTGAAAACATGCAGCAAACTCATGTGTGCGCGCTTTACTCCAAACCAATTCGCATTGAAATTCGATATGAAAAATTAAGCAGAAGCATATTTATGTAGTCGATTGTTGTTGTTGCTGTTGTTGTTGTTGTCGCTGTCGCTGACGAGTTGTTCAAGTGAAGCGCTGACGTGTATCCTTCTCACAAATATATATTGTATGTGCATATATACATACGTACTCATATGTATAGTTGTTGTTTTTGTTTCCACTAAAGATGCGTGAATGATTGTGAGTGCAGCGTAGTGAAGTGGAATCGCAGTGTAATGAATGCGATTTGTGGCATCTTGAATTACAGACGAAATGCGGCAAAGGCAATTGCCTAAAATCTCATACACAAGCAAACAGACAATATCCGCATTGAATACGTTCAATTTGTGTGCCTGTGTGTGTGCCTGTGTGTGTGTCTGTGTGTGCTGAGCCCTTCAATTCGTTTCTAATTCGCATTAACTCCAATTGTTGATGCCCATAATTGCTGTTCGTATAATAGCCTCATATCATATTTAACACCATTTAGAGCGTCGATTAAAATTCAATTCGATTTTCAGATTTTTCTTTTTTCCAAATTTTTTACCAGAAGCCTGTTCAATATTGACTTTTAATCTCTTTGCTATATGCCATAGTCATTCAATATGCTTTGAAAAGTGTTTAATATTATATACTTTTATAATTTTAACCATTGCAATTACCAAAAAATTAAATAAATGAAAAAGTATGTATATGGCTTCAACTTCAATGCCAATTCAATATTGAACAGGAAAAAAATTGCTTGCTCACAATTACATTAAGAATTCCTTCAATTATTTCTCCATAAAATATTTGTATTTCCATTCATATATTATTATTCATATTCATTCATAATATATATTCATATTCATTCATATTATACATTTATTCATATATTAGTTTCAGTTATTAGTATTAGTTGAAATTCAATCTAATAAGTCGTTCATTAAATATAAAATAGAATCCCGATAATTCGAAATGGCAAGGCGATCCTTTGTTTTTTCGATTTAGACAGAAATTCAAACTATCGAGAATTAGTGAAAACAAATTTCTTTCAAGGGAATAGAAAATTTGTTCGATTTATCGCGGTTCTCGATTTAACGGGGTACGAATCAGCGAAACTGGACTATATTTTCCAAGTTACTCGCATCACAGTCATCATTCATAAAATATTTTGATTGGTTAAACGTCATTGATTCAACTTATATTCAATTCTTATTCAATATTGAAGGGCACATTTTTTGTCTTCAATTCACTCCAGCCTTAAAAATTTTAATCATATATCAAGTAACTTTTCATCTTTCACTTTCAATTTCAGTCTACTGCCCATTCAATATCGCCCATCCAGCTAGTAATTAACTAATTCAATGTATTATCCAATTAGATTTCTTGTCAATCAGCAATTACCCAAAAATGAACGTAAGATCTATCGATATGGCCTACGACTTGTTTGTGTTCAATGCGTGTCCAATTAGTGTTATAAATAATGTAACGCGCTGGCTGACGCTAATCAACACTATGTTTGTGTGTTGCATAAATCTAATTATGCAATTATGCTGATGAGCAAATGTGCGAAATTAGTTAGTTAGACGCGCACAAAAGTAGGCAACATTAAATTCGCTTGCTCTCTGCTTACACTTGAGCCCAGCGCACTTTTAATGAGCACACGCATACACAGAAGCCGACTTACACACACACACACGGGCATACGCACACACACACATGTATATGTAGCCAGCTTTATTATTGAAAGTTTTGCCAACATAAAAGTCGAGGCAGGCCAATGCCACACACACACACACACACAGACACAGCCAGCACATAGCGACTAACACACACACACACACACACACGCACATGCATCACAACATATTAGCAATTAAAATTTTCTTAGTTAATTACTTTAAGCAGACGACGACACGAAAATTCCACAGCGAAAAATGTTGCAGCAAATGAAAGGCGACAGCATCCCGAAAGAGACAGCGACATAGAGAGAGAGAGAGAGAGGGAGAGAGGGAGGAGGCGACTGGTGCGCGCCACGCCCAACAGCATGAAGTGAATTTTATGAAATTTATGCGCATTTCACTAGAAAATTTAATTAGGAAATCTAATTTGCTCAAAAGCGCATAAAAAATGTCGCCCAGCGTGGAAATAGCTGCTGCTTTCTGCTGCCTGCCGGCTCCTGCCTGCCGACTCCTGCCGACTCCTGCCAGCTGCTGTCGCTGCTTGGCCGCCATTTTGGTTCACTCAGCTAGCCGCAGTGTCTATGCGAGTGTGAGTGTGTGTGCGTTTATTGTCTGTGTGCGTGGGCGAGAGCAGCACAGAGAAAGCGAGAGAGAGAGAGAGAGGGAGAGAGCTGTGGGAGTGGGGCAGAGACATGCATCAAGTAACCAACAAAATGACTAATTCGTGGCTCATGTGTGAGTTGACGCGCTGACTGTGTGCATATGTCTGCGTGTGTGTGTGTGTCGCATAAACAGTTGCAAGGCAAAATACGCTAATAAAGTGGCTGAGCAGCAGCAGCAGCAGCAGCAGCAGCGAGGGCAACGAAGGCAGCGCTGTCGCCAAGCGAGGGGAGGAGTATTTGCAATTTGCATTAGCGTCAAAGTGGCTGCGTTTCTATGCATGTGAGTGTGAGTGTGTGACTGTGTGAGTGTGTTGCCTAGCTAGCCATCTTGCTCACGCTCAGTGGCAGTGGCTTTGGCATTTGTTGACTTTTTGCCAGCTCTTTTTTATTTGTACTAATTAGAAATTAAATTCAATTATTTGCTTGAGAAATCAAATAAGAAATATACAAAATATAATATAGGGCAACACTGAGACAGAAAGCGAGACGAATGCAGAGAGACAGGGAGAGTGAGTAGGAGAGCTTACGAAAATATTCACAGCGTAATTAAAACGGAACTTGAGATTTGTGTTCAGTGCAAGAAGTAAGAGTTGCAGTGAATTCTCACAGCATATTTCCTATGAAGAACATCGGAAGATGGATGTAACAGAAAATATATATATACTTGTTTAATGTACGGTTAGATTTTTATGTTGTGGGAAATTCGTAGGGAAGTATTTTTAGTAAACTTTGCTTTGCTTGCACAATTGAAAATGAAAGTTGAAGAAAGACAGAATGAGAGGTAAAGAGAGAAGTAGTGAATGAGAGGGAGGTGGAACAAGATTGAGAGAGCGAGAGAGAGAGAGAGAGAGAGAGAGAGAGAGACAGTGAGAGAGAGAGAGAGAGAGAGAAGGGGAGAGTCACATAGAGATAACTGTGGAAGAGGAAAAGAAATTGAGATTGATAGAAAGAGAGAGAGAGAGAGAGAGAGAGAAGGAGAGAGAGAAGGATGGAGGTAGAGAGGTAGAGACAACGAATAGAAGGATGAGAGCGATAGAAGAGAGAGAGATTAAGATAGTGATAGAGAGGAGTGAGATAGGAAAAGATATATTGAGACAATCTGACAGAGAAAAAGATTGAGAGTTAGTTAAAACGAGTGAGAGAGAGAGAGAGA